AGATCTTGCATGGAGCCCCAGTGCGAGGGAGACTGACCGTCGTCTTTAGCCTCTTCCATTTTCTAACAATTGCTCCAACAGTTGATCTATTTTCACCAAGCTGCTTGGCAATTGCCCCGTAGCCCTTTCCAGCCTTGTGGAGGTCCACAATTTTGTCTCTGGTGTCTTTTGACAGCTCATTGGTCTTGCCCATGGTAGTAGTTGGCATCTGACTGACTGTGGGGTGGACAGGTGTCTTTAAAGAGCTCAGACAGGTGCTACTAAGTTAGATTAATGAGTGGAGTAGAGGTGGACTTTCTAAAGGCACAGTAACAGGTCTTTGAGAGCCAGAATTCTTGCTGTTTTTTAGGTGTTCAAATACTTATGTTCAGCAGTGCAAGATAAATAAATGCTTTAAAAATCATACATATGATTTCCTGAATTTTTTTTTTTTAATTCTGTCTCTCAGAGTGGGAATGCACCTACAATGTGAATTACAGACCCCTCCATGATTTTTAAGTGGGGGATCTTGCAAAATCACAGGGCGTTCAAATACTTCTGTTCCACCAATGGTGTTCCATGATGCCGTTGGTGGCTACGGATGTAAACAACACAGGCCTCTCTCCTGCCAGCAATAACATGCTGCCGTGTATTTCTCTGCACTGCACAGCACTGCTAAAACACACACAGCACACATAGTAAACCAGCACACAGTGAACCCTTTGATCACCCCAGATGTTAACCCCTTCCTGCCCAGTGTCATTAGTACAGTGTCAGTGCTTTTTACTATCACTGATCACTGTATTAGTGTCATTGAGATGTCAATGGCAGTTAGTCAGTTCCCACTAAGTGTCAGAATGCCTGCTGCAGTCCCGCTATAAGTCGCTGATTGCCGCCATTACAAGTATAAGGCCTAAATTTATGATGAAATTAGATTTTTAAATTTTTTTTCACTGGATATTTTTTATAGCAAAAAGTCAAAAATATTGTTTTTTTTTCAAAATTGTCAGTCTTTTTTTGTTTATAGCGCAAAAAATAAAAAACGCACAGGTGATCAAATACCACCAAAAAAAAGCTCTATTTGTAGGGAAAAAAGGACATAAATTTTATTTTGGTGTAGCATTGTATGACCGCACAATTGTCAGTTAAAATAAAGCAGTGACATATCGCAAAAAATGGCCTAGTCAGGAAGGAGGCAAATCCTCTGGAGGGCAAGTGGTTAAAAGAATTCCTTGCCCCCAGGTCACCAGAACTAGTGTCCCCATTGGAAGATTTCCCCTCTATTACTTTTCTGGGGACAACTCAAAATTTGGGAGTTTCTTTTACTTCCACTTTCAATGACGATAGTAAACAGGACAAATAGAGAGGGTGAATCTCCCTAATGGGGGTACAGACAGCAATAAAAAAAACTGCCAAGTGTTCTAATCCCTTTCTACTCTATCCAAAACTAAAAAAAAGTTTTGCCTATAGTTCTACTTTTACCTATCATTTGTCCCCATCACTCTGTTTAGCCTTGAGGTGGAAGAAAATACTCAATACTTCTGGAAAAGGGTATTGATGGCAAACAGAGGTGTGTGTTAAAGCAAACCTGTTGCTACCAGGGGCGGACTGACCATTTGGAGACCCGGCACTGCCCGAGGGCCCAGGGTCAGTAGGGGGCCCCATGAGATGCCCCTGGTACCTTTTTCATAGGCTTTTTTGAGTTTGGGCAAGGACACAGGGGCCCCATGATCCCCTATTGCCCGGGGGCCCCATGAGTTGTCAGTCCGCCCCTGGTTGCTACCCTGCATACTTCAGTTACCAGCACAAACAGAGGCTTGTCATCCAATTATTTAAAAACGAAGAGCGTAACCTGTTGTCATTTTAGACCTGTGGTTGACTTCAAGTAAAAGATCCACTGGTCCTACTTGCTGCTGCCACACAAAAAACACACAGGCATGCATGGGCCAAGCATAGATTTTTTGGAAGGATATTCCAGTATAAGCAACAAAACCCTTAGATGATCCTGTAAAAACATAAAGGGTTCCTATGGCCCACTTATCAGCAGCAGGATTTCTGTCTTAGGCTAGCCAGACATACAGAGAAATTACTACATTCAACCATCCACACTACATAGTGTGGTTGGGTGAATCCCCCCCTGCCAGCTGTTGTATTCTCCCAGCTGCTGATACCTGCAGCTGTCTGCATACCTGAACAGATGAGGACAAATTAATTGCTATATACCAACATATAGTATATAGCTGCTATATCATTTCCACTGCAGTAAAGTCTGAAGAAAATCAAACTACAGTACCTTGAAAAAGTATTCATACCCCTTGAAATGTTCCACATTTTGTCACGTTACAACCAAAAACGTAAATGTATTTTATTGGGATTTTATGTGACAGAAACAACAAAAAGTGGCACATAATTGGGAAGTGGAAGGAAAATGATAAATGTTTTTTTAAATTTTTTTTAATACTAAGTATCTTAAAAGTGTGGCCTGCATTTGTATTCAGCCCCCAAGTCAATACTTTGTAGAACCACAGCTGCAAATCTTTTTGGGGATGTTTCTACCAGCTTTGCACATCTAGAGAGTGACATGTTTTGCCCATTCTTCTTATATAGCCCAAGCTTTGTCAGATTGGATGGAGAGCGTCTGTGAACAGCAATTTTCAAGTCTTGCCACAGATTCTCAATTAGATTTAGGTCTGGACTTTGACTGGCCATTCTAACACATGAATATGCTTTGATCTAAACCATTCCGCTGTAGCTCTGACTTTATGTTTACGACCGTGGTCCTGCTGGAAGGTGAACCTAGCCCCCCAGTCTCAAGTCTTTTGCAGACTCTAACAGGTTTTCTTCTAAGATTGCCCTGTATTTGGTTCCATCCATCTTCCCTTCAACTCTGACCAGCTTCCCAGTCCCTGCTGAAGAAAATCATCCCACAACATGATGCTGCCACCATTTTTCATGGTGAGGATGGTGTGTTTAGACTGATGTGCAGTGTTAGTTTTCTGCCACACATAGTGTTTTGCATTTAGGCCAAAAAGTTCACTTTTGGTCTCATCTGACCAGAGCACCTTTTTCCACATGTTTGCTGTGTCCTCCACATGGCTTCTTGCAAACTACAAACGAGAATTCGTATGGCTTTCTTTCAACAATGGCTTTCTTCTTGCCACTCTTCCATGAAGGCGAGATTTGTGGAGTGCACGACTAATAGTTGTCCTGTGGACAGATTCTCCCACCTGAGCTGTGGAACTCTGCAGTTCCTCCAGAATTACCATGGAGCCTCTTGGCTGCTTCTCTGATTAAGGCTCTCCTTGCCCGACCTTTCAGTTTAGGTGGACGGCCATGTCTTGGTAGGTTTGCAGTTGTGCCATACTCTTTCCATTTTCGGATGATGGATTGAACAGTGCTCCATGAGATGTTCAAAGCTTTGGATATTTTTTTAATAACCTAACACTGCTTTAAACGTCTCCACAACTTTATCCCTGTCCTGTGTGTTCCTTGGCCTTCATGATGCTGTTTGTTCACTAATGTTCTCTAACAAATCTCTGGGGGCTTCACAGAACAGCTGTATTTATACTAAGATTAAATTACACACAAGTGGATTCTATTTACTAATTAAGTGATTTGTAACAGATTGTGAAAACCATTTATCATTTTCCTTCCACTTCATAATTATGTGCCACTTTGTGTTGGTCTGACACATAAAATCCCAATAAAATACATTTATGTTTTTGGTTGTAACATGACAAAATGTGGAAAATTTCAAGGGGCATGAATACTTTTTCAAGGCACTATAAATTATCCTATATCGCTTTGAACCCATAGCTGTAAACTGCAGCAGTGATGCTGATTATTAAAAGCAGGTAATAGACACAGTGTATTTTAGAGTTATCTGGATGTTAATTACATTCATTATAAGTTTATGCATGAAAGCACAAGTTTACTAAAACCACCCATAGTTGTGTTTAGGAGACTTCACAGCTTTAAACCTGAAATAAACAACCTTGCAAACGAGAGCTCCAAATGATATGTTTATTAGTGAGAATACAGCTGTATGAGAGCACCTATGCCCTGCCCATCAGTTGCTCTGATTAAGTCGATTACAGTTCACATTTTTATAGGGTTTTCTTAGCACATGCTACACCCCTTATCAGTTCACAACACTCATGATGTATAGTGGACCAGTCTGCAACACCCAATGGTGCACAGTGGACCAACACATGTCAAATGTAGCTGAATAAACAAAAACAACTGAACACCATATATATTATATATGTTTTAGAATAAAAGTGCATATCTCTATATACACCTAGTAATAATAGCCATTTCTAATGCAATAGACCTTACTCTAAGACACTCATATATATGTTAACTTATTGAACACTCTTATTACTGTTATTTCGTTATAATGTATTGTTATGATGTAGGATATAATAAGGATCACTTTTACCCCTATACAGTTGGTAATCAGCTTTGTCGGTCCAAGTTGCCCAATACACACAAAATTCAAAGCCACCTCCCCTTAAATATCAATAAAAGTAAAGAAGGAGAAGAGGAATCAAAATTGCTGATTCCTATTTTTATAAGGGAGTAACAGAATATGACTGTTTTTAGGCAGGATTTTATTTGTTTAGTAGGAGTTTACAAAAGGATTGCTTATGGAGTTTGTATTACTCATAGTTGGGTTTTTTGTCAGCTCTACCTTACAGATATAGTAAACAGACAAAAAAAAAAAAAAAAACCATTGGTTGAATTCATAGCTGTTTGTAAGAAGCTGAATTCCCTTAAGTCACAAATGTAGATGAAAGTAAAGAATTGTTCAGCATGATCAGAGGGGCACTAGACTCACTAAACCCCTTTGGACACAGAGGACCTGAAGTCCTCGATAATAGTCACAAATGCTCACCAAGTAACCCTCTTCAAGCATGTGTCTGAACCTAACCTAAGAGCCTACCACACCCCTGCATATCAAAGCCAAGAATAAAAATGATGTTATAAAGTAGCAGGTACTTTAGTTAAGGCTGTCTTACCTTTTTGATGTTATAGATTCGGATCAATACTCCTTTTCCCCTGTCATTTAGTATCATGAGCTTTTCAGCCAGTTTGTGTTGATATGTAGAACTCAAAGCCATCTTGAGCAAAGGAAAGTTATCTTATCTTCTGTTCTGTAGGTGATCTTATTTTCTCTTCTGAAAACTTCATATATTAAAATCCAGCAATCACCACAGACTCCACATGCATCGGTGATGAGGACAATCTCTCCGAAGGCTCATGAATGTCCAAATGGACCCCAGAATGTAAGTTTCTAAGGGAACTTCTGCTTTTTGTCAGAAACTAGTCATCTAGACATTAGCTTACAATGTCTCAGACACCTACTGACACAGAAACTTACAGAGTGACACAAAATGCAGAAGCTGACGGAGTACCTCTCACTCATACCACTTCCTCTTTGTATCTGCCTGTGGTCTCAGTTTTAGCTTGCGTATGAAGCTTACATTATTGACTATGTTACTGTGCTTTTATCCTCCTTGTCATTGTGGGACAAAAAGTATCCTCTAAAGAGTAGCAAATAAAACAAACCTACACTATGTGCCATTCTAGCTCACCAAGAAGAAAGTGCACATTCTTAACTTTCAAAAAAAGCGATTTTTTTAAAGACATTGTGAAGCTAAAATTTTGTTTATTAAAATAACAAACATGTCATAATTACAGTGCCTTGAAAAAGTATTCATACCCCTTGAAATTTTCCACATTTTGTCATGTTATAACCAAAAACGTAAATATATTTTATTAGGATTTTATGTGATAGACCACTGGTCTCCAAACTGTGGCTCGGGGGCTGGATGTGGCCCTTTGCATAGTTTTATCAGGCCCTTGGGGCACTGTTCCATCCACTGACTCCAACATTGGTACATCATTCCTGCTAATGACACCAACAATGGGGCACAAATCTACCCATTTAGATGAATGATGGCTTACAATTCCACCAAAAATCACCAACAATGATGTCCTCCCAATAACATCAACGATGTATCACTATTTCTCTTTCTGATACCTACAATGGGGCACAATTCCTTCCAAAAACACAAATGATAGGGCACACTTGCTCCCACTGACACCAGCAGTTGGGCACTATTCATTCCACTGACACTTACAGTAGAGCACAATTCCTCTCACTGACACCAGTGCTAGGATAGAAATCCTTCCAATGACATCAACAATGGCCACAATTCCTCCTACTGACACCAATGATGAGGAACTATTCCTTCCACTGACACCAATGATGGGGTATGATTCCTCCCTTAATTCCAAAGATCGGGCATTGTTTACTCCCAGTGAAGCCAGGACATTTTCTACTCTGACTTTCACAGTCTGGCCCCCCTAGAGTCTGATAGACAGTTAACTGACCCTTTGTTTAGAAGGTTTGGAGACCCCTGTGATACACCAACACAAAGTGGCACATAATTGTGAATAGGAAGGAAAATAGATGGTTTTCAAATTTTTTACAAATAAATATGTGAAAAGTGTGGTGTGCATTTGTATTTAGCCCCCCTGAATCAATACTTGGTAGAACCACCTTTCGCTGGAATTACAGCTGCAAGTCTTTTTGGGGATGTCTTTACCAGCTTTGCACATTTAGAGAGTGAAATTTTTGCCCATTCTTTTTTGCAAAATAACTCAAGCTCTGTCAGATTGGATGGAGAGTGCCTGACCACGTGGAAGAAAAATATATTTGAAATATATTTTAAAAATATTCTTCCCAAATATATTGCCAAATATATTTGAAATGCTACGATTTTGGCCATATTCAATATATTTCAAAATATTTTTAAATATATATATACTGCATGTTGAAATGCGTTATTACGAAATATATGAAAAATATTTTTAAAAATACATTTCAAATTTACTGCATATATGGCCAAAATTGTAGCATTTCAAATATATGGCATTATATTTGGGAAGAATATTATTAAAATGTATTTCAAATATATTTTTCTTCCATGTGGGTGTGAACAGCAATTTTTAAGTCTTGCCACAGATTCTCAATTGGATTTAGGTCTGGACGTTGACTGGGCCATTCTAACACATGAATATGCTTTGATCTAAACCATTCCATTGTAGCTCTGGCTGTTTAGGGTTGTTGTCCTGCTGGAAGGTGAACCTCCTCCCCAGTCTCAAGTCTTTTGCAGACTTTTAACAGGTTTTCTTCAAAGATTGCCCTGTATTTGGCTCCATCCATCTTCCCTTCAACTCTGACCAGCTTCCCTGTCCCTGCTGAAGAAAAGCATCCCCACAACATGATGCTGCCACCACGTTTCACGGTGGGGATGATGTGTTCATGGTGATGTGCAGTGTTAGTTTACTGCCACAGATAGCATTTTGCTTTTAGGACAAAAAAGTTAAAGTTTGGTCTCATCTGATCATCATCTCATCTGTATCCCCCACATGGCTTCTCACAAACTGCAAATGAGAATTCTTATGGCTTTCTTTCAACAATGGCTTTCTTCTTGCCACTCTTCCATAAAGGCGAGATTTGTGGAGTGCACGACTAATAGTTGTCCTGTGGACAGATTCTCCCACCTGAGCTGTGGATCTCTGCAGCTCCTCCAGAGTTACCATGGGCCTCTTGGCTGCTTCTCTGATTGATGTTCTCCATGCCCAGCCTGTCAGTTTAGGTGGACAGCCATATCTTGGTAGGTTTGCAGTTGTGCCATACACTTTCCATTTTTGAATGATGGATTGAATAGTGCTCCGTGTGATGTTTAAAGCTTGGGATATTTTTTTTATAACCTAACCCTGCTTTAAACTTCTCCACAACTTTATTCCTGACCTGTGTGGTGTTTCTTGACCTTTATGATGCTGTTTGTTCACTAATGTCCTCTAACAAACCTCTGAGAGCTTCAAAGAACAGCTGTATTTATACTGAGATTATTACACACAGGTGGAATCTATTTACTAATTAGGTGACTTCTGAAGGCAATTGGTTCCACTGGATTTTAGTCAGGCATATCAGAATAAAGGGGGCTGAATATAAATGCACGCTACAATTTTCAGATATTTATTTGTAAAACATTGAAAACCATTTATCATTTTCCTTCAACTTCACAATTATGTGCCACTTTGTGTTGGTCTATTACATACAATCCCAATAAAATACATTTATGTTTTTGGTTGTAACATGACAAAATGTGGAAAATGTACTGAATACTTTCTCAAGGCACTGTACCTGCTCTGTGCACTGGCTTTGTACAGAGCAGCCCTGATCCTCTCCTTCCAGTACTTCTGGCCCCTCTCGCTTGGTCCCGAGCCAGCTCTGTGTATTCATGACACACAAAGTGTGGCTCAGTCCCACCCCTTGATAAATAATGCAGCGCTAGAAGTCCGTAAATTGAAAATGCATATATAGTGAAGTGCAAAGTGGCGCTAAAGTGATCGCAACATAAATAAAGTGTACCATCATTTATTGACGTAAAAATTGTGGCTTTAATAGCAATAGTGACACTGGTGTATAATTACTAAAAGTACTGACAATGAAAATAAATAGAATCAATATAAATATGGAGATGCAGAAAACAGTCCGATATGTTCCGTGAAATCCGTACACGTGACTTCTGTGATAAGGATCTGTAGTGTGATTGCACTCACCAGAAGCACAATAATATTGCGCATGTATATAATTTATCCTTGGTGGTCATCTAGGTTCAGGTAAGGAAAAGGAATCATCTGGCACACTGACAGCATACAAGGAATAACTCCAGACCTCACTCTCAGTACACAGGAACAGCTCCATAATACTTCTCCACCACAGGACAAAATAGCCAAAAAGAGGATGTTCTCCACCTTAAATGGCTCGCAAACACAAGCCACAAAACGAAAAGTGCTGATAGCGTAGTATTTTTTATTGTTAAAGCAAAAAGAAAGAATCCAAAAACAGCTGTCAGCATACTTACAGGGACAAAGATGGCGCTTCACGATATATGCATTTGTCACTTTATGAACTTCTAGCGCTGCATTATTTATTTATCAAGCCATTTTGAAGATACAGAGGTTCACCCTGAATGCCAGCTGCTTTTTGTTTAATCAGGCGCTCGCTTGCCACTATTTTATGCTTTATCAGTCCCACCCCTGCCTCACTGGCTATGACTGACAGCAGCGTGAGCCATTTGCTTGTAAGAGCCATTGAGGAGGGAGAAACCTGCCGCTGCTCTTGCGCACATCGCTGGATCAAGATTGAACTCAGGTAAGTATTAAGGGGAGCTGGGGGGGGGGGGGGGGACTACACACTAAAGGTTTTTACCTTCATGCATGAACTTCATATACATGTACATCATCTGGCCTGCCCTCGCAACTTGCCTGCCTGCAGTAAAAGTACTGTGGACAGTCAGAAAGTGGTTAAAGAATATAAAAACCCAACATTTCATATTCTTGATATGTGCCTGCTGTACCACATACTTGTATTGAAAAGTATCCTGTTCTCCTTGTATTATTTCCTTTGTGTGAAATCCCTGGTGTTCCTGCCAGTCCCTCTGCTTTCCTAATAAAAACTGACCACGCTAAGCAGGCAAATACACAATGGTCAGTTCTCTAGCTATGCTGGCAACTCAGTGTGCGCTCCTCCAATGATAAGATGTATCCAGACACACCCCACCTGCACAGCCATTCACTGGGAAGATCAGTATGCTGCTGTTTCTCCTCCCCAAGCTCTCACGCAGCTGAAAACTGAGGGAATGTGATCACTTACAAAAAAAAAAAAGGAAAAGGGTATTTATAATGTTTTTTTTAACTCTATACACAAGTGTTTTGCTTTTCATTTCTATTTTAAACTGAATGAGTTGTTTTACAGGGGTGACGGTTTACAATCACTTTAAGTGGTATCCACTTAAAGTAAGGGTGCATTCTCTCACCAACTGTGTCTGCTGCTGGTTCCATGTGATCGCTGTGACCAATCACAGCAGATCACATGACAGTTATACACAGTGGATGGCTTTCATTGATGCCATCCATTGTGTACTGAGTTGACCTCTGTGATTGGTTACAGTGATCACATGGTAAAGACAGGGCCAATCACAGTCCACAATACTAAACACTGAATTAATCAATTTAATTCAGTAAAAATGAGTGCTTATAC